CTAGGTCTCCAGTGCTCCCATCCTCTGGGTGTTCAACCCTTGCTGGGCCAGAAATCTGTTCTCCATTTCCTGCATCCTTTGGAGGATTGCATTCATGGCCACAGTGTCATGTCCCTTGACGGTTCGTTGTGTGGAGGTGGACGCACTACACCCACTGTCGCGTTGGGCTGGGGTCTAGAGGGCGATCCTTTATGGCCGATTTCTTCGACCTGTACATCTATCAGCACAGGGGTCTTGGTTGATTGGAGTTGTTCCAGCGCGGACTGGTGTGGCGGCACTTGGACGGTGCTAGACGTCGAACGGGTGTTCGTCATCGTGGATTGGGGATCGAAATTTACCGTTCCCATAGACGGCGCCAATGTTCGGTCCTGGATAGACCGTATTGTTATACCGTGAGGTATGCGCTCAGAGATATAGTATAATCGAGTGTATACTTGGCTTATAGCCGATGTTCCAATCACTGTGCACAAGCAACAGGCTTATGGCCAAGGGGTGGGTGTGTGCACAGTGTGGGCAGTATTAGTAAATAGGTCAAAAGTATGTACCTGGGGTTCTTAGACTCTTATTTATAAGGTTTACCTTCCTATGCTTGGAACTTTTGAGCTTCCTAGATTGCATTAGGGTTCAGCTCCCTTGCTATTGGGATGTGACCCTTATCTTGTGTACTTTGACTGTTTAGAGTTGTTGAGATACACAAGAATCTATCTCTTAGTAGATTCTTAGGTGAGTAGTTGGGATATGATATTCATATCCATAACACTATTGAAACACGAATGCGAAGTTGGATATTGGATCTCGAGGGTCTCTTTCTGCACTTTTGAAATCTCATCTTCAACCATGTTGATCTTATTCTTGAAAAAGTCTTCAAGATCAAAGATCTTGCAACGTTTTTCATTTTTTTCCTGCTCGTACTTGTTAATGATGGACTGTACCTTTGTAGGTTGTTGGGGCCAAGTCATAGGTCGAGCATCCCCATTCTCATCGTACACAATTAAGCAAGCTTCAACTCCACACATAGTTGAAAATTCAGATATTTTCTTCATTAGTCCTTTTCTTCTCTGCATGAAAGTTGCTCTACGAGCTCTACCATTTGGAATACGTTTGAAGTTTATCTTTGAACGACCCATTTCCTAAGACATATATATACAAAAAGTGGTCAAGAAAACAGAACATCATCTCAAATTATATATATAATTCAAACTACAACACAAAATTTTTAACATATATATACTCTAATTCTCTTTTTCTTTTGTTTTGAACTTAAATAGTTAATTACTCAACATATACACAGAAATTAGTAAATAAAACTGGACTTCGTCTCGTAATATATAATTAAATCCACAACACAAATTACCAAAAAATTAATAATATAAGTAATGACCATTCTTGCTTAAATTGGGGGGGGGGGGGGTGGGGGGGGGGTGGGGGGAATCTATCTCAATTCCTTAATTTTCTTGGTCTCAGGTGGCAAAGGTAGAATCTGTCACTGTTGTATAATCAACAGTTCAAAAAAGAATGGTTCTTTAGAGGGCGAAGGAAAAGGAGAAGCAAAACGGCCATGGCTAATGGCTAATGGCTATACAATGAAAATTCTTGTGGAAAACGGATCGTAAGAGACATGTTTTAGAGAAGAATTATTCAAAGAGAGAAGAACGTATCAAATTATCAAGAAAGCAATAGTTTTAAACAAACTTAAACAACAAATATAGAAAGAAAACAACACAAAAACGAAGAAAAAGTGACAGTGTAAATGTAATAAGAAAACAGTCGTACCTTCAACAAAGGCTGATCTCAAACTGTTCTGTAAGATTGAACCAGAAAGTAGCTTACAGTCTCACAAGAATTGAATTTATAGAAACTGAGTATAAGATTTGATATATAATGAAATAAATTGGATCTTCTAATTTAGGAAACCGAATCAAGATTCCAAATATTTTGCAAGGTTTTTAGTCTAGGAAACTTGCGTACCACGTTCGAATTAAATCTTCGAATTTTCTTTACAAAAAATCTTATTCAGAAGATTTACTTGGGTTGAGCAAATAATATCTTACAGTTAATATCAATACTATAATTTAGAAAACTGAATCAAAAGTTTTCACTGTTCAATGATTACAAAAAATATTTGATTGACCAATATATCTTACAATTAATATCAATATTATAATTTAGGAAACCAAATCAATATTCGAAAATATTTCGCCACGTGTTTTTAGATTAGGAAACTTCTTTATGACGTTGGAATTAAAAAATCAATATCTTTACAAGAAAAATATTTGATTGGCCAATATATCTTACAATATAATATCTATAATCAAATTATATTATTTTGTCCGAAAGATTTCTTTGTGATATTTAAGCTAATAGTATTTTTCTTAATACAAGAAATACGCTATCTAGCCACGGCTCTTTTGCCACACTAACAGAGCTGCAGTGGAATATTTAAAGAAAGGGTTTTATTAATCTCATGTTAAAGGAGATAATTATCTCATTTCATAGAGACAAATTAGTGGACTCACCACCTGCAAAAATAAAAGAAAAGAAAAAAAAAATGACACAGTTATCGAAAGGTGTGTAGGAGAGAAAACTTATGTCATGTGACATAAGAATAGTTCTTCCCTTAAAGAAAACCCCAAATCTGCAACGAAGTAAACCCAATGTTACATTTCTCATCTCATTTTAAATCATAAATACTCGAATTTTTTTTTTTCATCTCTATTGTCATTCCCCAAATCAGATAAGACTCCTTGGTTCTCTGTGTAAAGAAGCCATCCCTTCATATTCTCAATCGAAAATCTAGGTTTCCTAATTCCATCGATATGTTATTGGTGCATATCAGATCAATATTGAGGTGAGTGTGTGTATCTCTTCTTTATGCTTCTTCGACTTTCCAAAAAAGAATTTCACCGTCGCTATTCGTGGAATTGAGGCGGTGGATTAATTAACCTGCATTTGTTGTTTGCACATTGCTTGATTTTGATTTGAAATGCTGAAATTCTCTCTAGTGTATTGTAAATTAAACTCTTCTAGTGGTTTACCCTGTGTGTATATGCGATATTTCCCTTCTTTTTTTCTTCATTACAAAAAAAAAAAATCAAATATCAAACCTTAAGCAGGATTAAAGCCTCTCTTAGTTTCTTCCAACCCAGAAAAAATTTGTTGATGAATTCTGTATCCTCTATAAACATGTCTTCCAGAATACTAGAATTGTACTTTGGCGTAGCCAGCAGAGCAGTCCCTTCACAATATTAACAATCAGTCATCAATATACTGTATCAAAAGTAGAAGCAACTTTCTCAAAGAAACATGATATAAGTGTTGAAGGCACAAACCATGATTCAAATTATGAATGTTGTTACGCTTTAGGCTCAACTTTGATATAATATGCTAAATAGAGACATAGCTGAAGGAATAATTCTTACAAAAACACCGGGAACTTCAACAAGCTTTGCAGCTGCAATTACTTTCTCTGTTAGTCACTCACGCCAATATTGTTTTGAAGTAAAATGCATTAAAATTTAAGTGCTAAGCTAACACTGAGTACAAACCTGGATACACAATCAACAGGGGTTTTCGGGCTTCATCCTCTGTAGAGTAGACCATTCAACCCTGCCAATAGATGGAGAGGACTCCAAGTACTTTTTCATCAAGCAGAGATAATAAAGGCACCTCTTGTCATGGTATCTAAAATTCAAATAATCCTTCTCATGGAAACACTCCTAACAAAACATGGAAACAGTTTTTATACACTTGAAATTGATAGATTAAATTAAACATTAATTAAAAAAAAGTTTGATTATTATTTTTATAAATATTTTTTATATTTGATATTTTTACTAAGTAAAATAAAAAACAACAATAAATAAATAAATAAAAATTAGCAAAAAAAATTATTAATTTTTATGAAACGATTACTGTTTTGAAACATGTGGAATTATAAGTTTTTTATTTATTTATATTCTAATCAAATTAGACTATAGTTAATATGGAAATTGTGGAAGACATGGAGAAGGAACAATAATATATTTTATGGTCAGAATGACATCATGATTTATTGAACCAAAAAGGTTTGGATGATTAATTTATTTTAGTTCTGCTGACAATTAAATAACAGAGTCTCTGTTGTCACTAGAATTTTGCATGCAGCAAAACAGAAGTTGGATTGTAGATTGTCAGTTTTAAACAAGAGCTGAATGCTGGCCATTTCTATTACTACTCTGTCAAAAGAGCAAATATTACCATCATTAACTGACTTCTATAAGAAATTTAAATGTATATTATTTTTTGTTTACATTGTAAAGTGGGAAAGAAGTTGGAGCAAAATTAGTTGATAGTTGATACTTGACTTGCATGGTCTGCGCTGTTCCTCTATAAAGGAAGCATATCAAATTTAATTAGTTCATTTAGGCAGGGCCTATGACCTTATTAATAAAGAATCTGTGAGCCTTGGTTATATTTTGTTGTCACCTAAAGGTTTTAAGATAATTGTTAATATATACAATAGCAATATCAACTTAATTGCTTGTAATTAATTCAGTTAGTTAGAATTAGTTAGAAGTCAGTTATTTCTGTTTTCTGTTATTTACAGTTATAGAACTTTTAGCTTCCGCGCCTTAGTTAGTTACTGCTGTATATATATATATCAGCAATGTAACTTTGATAAATCATTCAATACAATTCTATCTTTTCATCTTTTGTCAAACTTTCAATATGGTATCAGAGCTCATCTAGAGCTCTGGTATTCACCCTCTCCTGTTCCCAAATTTTTCCAAAAGATTTCCTTCTTCTTCTCTTTGAAATTTTCTGTTTTCTTTTCTTCAATCAAGAAAATGGAAGATCAACAGAATGCAGCAACAACACCAAGTCAGAATGCAGTACCAACCCAGAATGCAGCACCAGCACCATAATCCAATCCTTATTATCTACATCCCAATGAAAGCCCATCGCTGGTCTTAGTATCCCCTTCAATGAATGGAAAGAACTTCCACACATGGCAAAGATCAATGCGTATGGCACTCCTATCCAAGAACAAGCTTGGTTTTGTTAATGGAACAATCAAGAAACCAGATGATGACAGTCCTCTATTTGGTTCATGGGAAAGGTGCAACACTATGATAATTTCTTGGCTCAACCGATCCATCTCAGAATCCATTGCACAATCAGTACTCTGGATGGATAAAGCAGATGATATATGGAACAACTTGAGAGACAGGTTTGCGCAAACTGATATGTTTAGAAATTCTGATCTTAAAGATGAAATTTTCAAATTGCAGCAGGGAGACAAATGTGTTTCAGATTACTTCACCCAATTAAAGATTTTATGGAATGAATTAGAAAGCTTACAGCCAATTTTACCATCTTGCACATGTGGAGCAGCTACACAAGTCAAAGATACTCGTGAAAGAGACTATGTAATAAGATTATTGAAAGGGTTAAATGATCAATTTGAGCATGTAAGAGCTCAGGTAATGTTGTTAGACCCTCTTCCATGTGTTAACAAAGTATTCTCATTGATTCTTCAGCAAGAAAGACGCCTGAAAATAGGAGTCCAAGATTCACAGTCTTTCATCAATATTGCTGAACAACAAAATTCCAGAGGACAACTAGACAGAGGGCAGACTCGATACAATCCAAATTTCAATCAAAACCTCAACCAAGGTTTCAGTCAAGGAAGAGGCCAAGCTTTCAATCAAGGAAGAGGCCAAACTTTCAATCAAGGAAGAGCCGTGGAAACAAGTTATGCACTTATTGCAAGAGAACAAACCATACCATCGAGACTTGCTATCTCAAGCATGGATTTCCACCAGGATACCAAACCAGAAGACCATATACTGCTGTTGCTGCAAACTTTGTTTCACCAGAATTCGATGATAGTGTACACAATGCTGATCCAGAACCTGAACCAGAATCTATGAATCTTGCTTTTTCAAAAGAACAGCATCAAGAAATTCTGGAACTTCTACAAAGATCAAAGTTGGCTCACTCATCCAACATGATTCAAACCCACTCATCTGCCTTCAATATAGGTAACACAGTGTCAGGTATAAAATCAAACCATTGGATTCTAGATACTGGAGCTACAGATCACATCACATATATTTTCTCTAATCTCTCATGTGTTCAATCCATAAATCCCATACACATCACACTTCCAAATGGCACTCAAATTATCACAACACAATCAGGCACAGCAAGAATTTCTGATTCTTTAGTTCTTAAAAATGTTCTCTATGTGCCATCTTTTTGTGTCAATCTAATTTCAATAACTAAGCTTCTTCAAGACACCCAATCCTACATTCTTTTTCATGACTTAACTTGTTTTATCCAACAGACATCAACCAACCAGACGATTGGTTCAGCTAAACAATTAGATGGACTCTACATATTGAAGACACATGAAGGATCTGTAAAGAAAAGTTTCTGCAATAAAGTGAACTCCACTGATGCACTGATATGGCACCAAAGGCTTGGTCACCCTTCTGAACCAATCATGAAAACCGTGTCCATTTACTTCTCTTTCATTTCATGTAATAAAATAGATCCCTGTAATATATGTCATTTTTCAAAACAAAGAAAATTGCCTTACATTTCTAGTACAATCAAAAGTACATTTCCTTTTCAATTAATACATACTGACATTTGGGGTCCTTTCTCCACAACTTCTTTACATGGTGTAACATCCCGCATAATTAGGGACTTCTATAAATTATAATTAAGAAGGTGTAACAAACTTGAAATTCGAATAAAACATAAGTTTAGAGTGGAATTTATGTAAGCCAGGAGAATTATTTGATTTGCATGTACGCGTGAGTGGATATATACATATATACTTTGAGAAATCAAGGCTCTAGTTATAAGAATAGGATTAATTTAATATAGCCTATGAAAATTCTAGATAATGCTTAGAAGGACTATGAAATGATAATTAATAAATGACAGTGAGCAATGCTCATTAAGAGATGATAGTGGGACCCTTTAGTAACCTTTAACCTATCTTAAAGAAAATCTTGATTACTTGTGTAAGTATCCAAAGAAAAATCAAATCAGCCCTTGTACCATCCTATACGCCTAGTAGAGGGCTGGGAAATAAGCATGTATCTGTTTGATTAGATGAAAATAATCACCTTGCATGTAATTACATTGGTCAATGGCATGTAATCTTATTGATCTATGACAACCCTCATTTATCTTATCTATCTTGTTTCCCCTCCATGTGCGCAAAGGGTAAGAAATAATTCTGATCTCCAGGCATTAGAAGCCAATGCATGTCCTTGAGGTGTCAAGCTAAATCTTTCCAATCTCTTGCATGAAGGCCACCTTTCGCCCATGGCATTGCATGAATGCCACTTGTCTCATCTTTGGACACTTGGATGATTTTCCCTACATGTTTCTGCCAATTCCCTCTTGACCAAGGGATTGCATTCTATTAGTCTAAAAGTCTGATCCTCATTTAGTTTCCTCTATGCGTATGAGAGATCACCAAAGCCAAACCATCCACACATTCTGAACATAGCTATCTAATTCCCCATTAAACCGTAAGCATAGAAAACCAACTATTGAGACATACTTCCCTTCTTCTCACTAGTCGGCCATGTACCAAGGAGTCAAGAGGTATAGTGTCCTATCCACTTCCTTGTTCACCTTCTTCTCTCAACGGTTAATAAAGATCTTCCACTGCATGCAGTTACTTTAAGCCACTCTCCATTCCTTCCCTTGTTTCGGCCGAGACCCCTCAAAGAGGTGTGGTATCCCTTCACTGCTTCTTGTTTCTTTCGCGGATCGGTTCTGAGTCAAAGTCCCATTGAATGTACTTGCTTCAGCTGTGAACGAACCAACTTTTCCCTTGCATGCCGTTGGAACCATCCTCCTGAAGCATCGGAAAGGTGCAGGACCGTCTACTGTTCGAGTGGGGATTCGTTATGCACATATGTGTAGGTAAACAATTTCAAACTCTCCTTCCTTTTTCCCTCACTGTTTTGGCCGTGGCATACATATTGAGAAGAGAAAATTTTGTTTTATCATTCCTACACTTTCTGTCCGGTTAGCATAGGTGTCATAGGAGGATAAATTTCCCAACTTCCCTCATCTGTTTCTGTTGTATGAGTGTCCTAGGAAATCAAACTCTGTCATCACTACCTCTTTGTTTCTGCTCACTGTACATCTTTGATATTAAGGCATACAAGTCTAAAAAAATGAATTATGAACTTGGAAGAGAGAGCATTTTCGTGCGTTAGGACCGTTCCTTGGACCAAAATGGTAATATAGACTTGCATGTGATAAATCTGTATGGACCGTAGGTTTAGAGGCCTCCTTCTCACACCCTAGCCTTGAAGAGAAAAATATGAAATTGAAAATGTTAAGTCACTAGTTAATAACATCAAAAACCGAATATGAATGCTAATGGAACTTTGGATTCTTCGTTGATTATAATGGAATAAATTCTGCTTTGGTGAACCTTGATATGTACTAAGTCCTATATAAATTAAATAAACAGCATGATATATAGGCTTTATTTTGCGCACCATAGGAGTGGGAAGTAGAAATTGTATGATTGAAACCTTGAGAATTTTCTGTATGTAAAACCGATGTTGTTTGGGATTGGAAATCTTAGAATTATTCGATGTTACGTGTCTGAAAAAAAAATTATTATGGAATCCGAATATGGTTAGGAACAGCATCCTAAAAACCGATTAGGAATTTAAGGAAAAATGGGCTAAAAACATATGTTGTATGTAGGAAATTTGTGACGTACGATTCTGACTTGAAACCTTGTTGCTTAGGTAACTCTTGAATAGGGATTACTTCGCTGCTGTTTGGTAAATTGTTGTGGCACGCGAGGTATGTGTAGGCGGTATTACCTAATGTGACTATTGGCTAGTGTATGGAATTGTGATGTGTTGCTCACATTTGTTCTATGTATGTTATGATGATGATGAGCCAATGGTAAGAATATGAAAGGATAATATGATATATGCAAGCATTTTACATCATAATACATTTTTCTGTTGAGTGCGATTGCATAACATGGCATGTATACTTGATTCATGACATCTTGAATATATATATATATTTGTATTGAGGACATGTGACTGAGCATGCATCATATAGGCATGCCTGGTACCAGGAGAGGGGACACTTGGCTTCAGTCCGCATAGGTTCCACAGTGGGATTCACCTTCATGGGAGCCATTAGGAATATCCACTGTGATGCTACGCGCACGACGGTGCTATGAGCGTAAAAGAAAAAGGGCGTTATATACGCGTTATGATATATGATGAAAAAGATTAAATGTTTGAAGTGACTATTTATGATTTTGTGCCTAGTTAGTACTGTTGCATTTGGTTTTGTTGCCACACTACTGGGTTTATTCTCACCCCTTTGGGGCTGCAATTTTTAAATTGCAGGAGGACGTAAAAGTATTTGAGGACTTGGATGTTGAACTCTGTTATATTTTTGCTGCTATCTGGATTTATTCATTGTTGACTGTTTTAAGCTTGGGATGACTGTATTATGTGGTACTTTATGATTTTTGGATGACTGTAAAACTATGACTTATTTCTGCTTTAAGTCTTTTTATGAACAGCGGCTGCTTTAAGAAATCTGAAATGTTTTGCGAAAAGGGACTTTCTTAACGTTTATCAAATGCTGAATTTTTAACGATTTACGGACAAATTACGAGTTATGTTTCGAGGGGAAAATGAACTCCGATTTACTATTATTTTATATGTACGCGAAGCCCCAAGCGTCTACTTTCAGATTCTAGAAACCGTACAAAAATATTTTGAAAACTCGATTTGATATTGATTTTGTACACGAACTGTTTTTGGGAAATTTCCAACTTTGCAAACAGCAAGGTTTTTACAAAGTTTTATCAAGAATATCTTATTAGCTTTCCACTTTCATCACTCAAGGGTATTTTAAAAGAAAAAGTTCGCTACTAAATTCCGCAACTCTAATAACGATTAGCAAACGACTCTCTTGGATGCATACAAGGGAGGGTGTTACACATGGTCATCGATATTTCTTAACAATTGTTGATGACTATACACGGTTTACATGGGCTATTCTTTTAAAGAACAAAACTGAGGCACGAAACAATTTAAGACACTTCACTGCCTATGTTGAAAATGAATTCAACTCTTCCATAAAAATCATCAGAAGTGATAATGGACCTGAATTCCTTATAACTGATTTCTATCTCTTAAAAGGGATTGAACACCAACGTTCTTGTGTTGAATCACCCCAACAAAATGGGATTGCAGAACGTAAACACCAACATATCCTTAATGTAGCTCGTTCTCTTTTCTTTCAAGCCAAATTACCACTTAGCCTATGGTCTTATGCAATTTCTCATGCCATACACATCATAAACAGAACCTGTACACCACTTTTAAATAACAAACCACCATATGAACTCCTATACAACAAACCACCACCACTTGAACATTTAAAAGTTTTTGGCTGCCTTGCATATGCCATAACCTTACAAGCTCATCGTTCCAAATTTGATTCTCGGGCTCAGAAAATCGCCTTCATTGGTTACGAACAAGGTACAAAAGGCTACATCCTATTTAATTTATCTACTAGAAATATTCTCATCTCTAGAAATGTTATTTTTTATGAAGAACATTTTCCTTTATCTCTTGAAACCAATACATCCATGACTACACACAATCATCAACCAGAAATCTCCATTCCTCTATATGACATGCCTCAATCCAATACACATGAATCAATTATACCAAACACATCATCACAACAACATCTTACTCTCCCAAACCAACAACAAAATGACATATCTGCATCAAATAATTCCAATCCTCACCAATCTCAAATTCCTCCACCAAGACGCTCTTCGAGGTCACACATTGCACCCAAGTATTTACAGGATTTTCATGTGTCTCTATCAATTGTTTCTGACACCAATGCTGTATCAGGTATCAATTCACCTTCATATCCTTTATCTACAGTTCTTCTTATACTAATTGTTCCCCTAGTTACAAGAATTTTTGTTTAAATTCTATCACCAATGTCGAACCAAAATCCTATTCCCAAGCCTCCCAGCATGAGTGTTGGAGAAAAGCTATGAATGATGAGATCGTGGCTCTTGAACAGAATCATACCTGGTCTGTAGTTGATCTTCCTCCCAATACCACACCCATTGGCTGCAAATGGGTATACAAAGTGAAACATAAGGCAGATGGTCCCATCGAATGCCACAAAGCCAGGTTGGTAGCTAAAGGTTACAACTAGATTGAGGGTATCGATTATTTGGACACTTTTTCTCCTGTTGTGAAACTTACCACAGTCATAATTCTTCTCTCTATTGCCATTGCAAAGGGGTGGATACTAGAGCAATTAGA